AAATTCCGGTCTAAAGCTTCAACATGGGGCACCATTTGCCATTTCCAAAAAGCTTCGTATCCATTCTTCTTCTTAGATATCATTCTAAACATAAAAATCAGAAAGCTTAGTATCCATTCTTCTTCTTAGATATCATTCTAAGCATAAAAATCAAAAGATTTAATTATTTAACTCGTTGTTGGGGTTGAATAAGTTAATCATAATAACTGAGGTAGGTCTAAGAAAATATCTCAACTCCACCAAGCTCAACTCGCGAGGAACAAATATCTTAAGACTCGAAAACACGAAACAGAGCATTTATGGACACAATGTTTTGTTTTTATCTTCTCTTTTACGATTTTTGTCGTTTTTTGCCCTTATTTACCACGAATTTTGGCCAATGTTTATAAGTTTTTGTAGAGTAAACTCCTAGAACATTTAGCTACTTTTGATATTTAATTTTTCTAGGATTAACGACATTTTTCGTGAAGCTAAGTACGGTAGAACAGTTATGAAATGGAGATAAATAGTTAAATAATTTGATATTAAATGTAAATTCCTAGAATACAGATTAATACTTGTCACTTAATTTTCTAATCTAAAACCTAATGTCTTTCAAGACTGATATAAAAATTGCAACCGACTGTACACCATTTACGAAAAAGATAGATTTAAGTATACGACTCACTAGATTTGTCCCCTCTAATGTCAATTCTTCTTTCGCAATACTGATGGATCCGTGCGATATCCAACTAATATAGTTAGGACATTCGATTTGACTTATCGATTTTGTCTCCAAAATTTCTAATGGTAAATGATTTGTTTAGGGTTACCAATAGAGAGGGGAGTTNCAATTTTTGACATTGTGATTGCGATCCTATTTGATCGACCGATGTGTATTCCATCAGTGTTGGGACTTATTTCTGGTGCAGTTATATTGATATTATGGAATATGAGGTTGTTGCAACCGAGGACATTGATATGGAAGTTCTTGCTATCAAGTGACGTTATTCTGTTCACGATTGAATTGGTGATGAAGTTGAACCTCAAACTCTTAACATTTTGTACAATCATATAATATTTTGTGAGCATCATTAATGAAGCCAAAAATTTTAACAGAACCCAATAAAATCGAAAACTCATAAAGAATTTCACTCCTTTACATGCTTTTTTTTTTTTTAGAATGGTTAAAGATAATCCTCTAGAAAATGAAGAACGTTTACCAAATTATAAATGTTAGAAGATTAGAGAAGATGTCTAAAAACAACAAGTGCAGAGATTGAGAAGGAAAGCTGAAGGCATATTGCTTACAATGGAGAGTTGGGCACAATTTATGCGTTTATGGCAATCATTCTTTTTCCAAGCTGCCTTTCCTTGGCATCAAAAACTCCTTCACCTGATAATGTCAATCTATCAATATGTTCAAAAGTTGTTCATCAATGGTTGTGTTGCAATATCTCTCTCACTCGCCTATGAACAGTTGAATCTCAAAAAAACTAGGCATTGGTCATACCCAACGAAGTACTTTTTCTAGAAGTAAACAAATTAGATATCTGATGGCGTATAGATTCGGAGCACGAACTTGTTGGTTGGTGATGTCCATTCATTATATTAACATTGGTACAGGGCACGGCGAGGCAGTCTCCCACGCACTCTAGTCAAGATTGTTAAGCATACATACCTAGATCAGCCACTAGATAGTCCATTCATGTTTAAAAGGTATTACTCAAATTTAAGAGTATTTTAAAAATATTTTAAAAGTTGAAAGATATTTTTGAAAATGTTTAATGTATTTTGGGACGTGGGACTTTCATCAGCCGTTGTCATTGCGCAGGCCATGGGAATGAAGTCAAGATAGTTGCATTTTCTATTTAATTGTAGTCTTTTGTTAAATCGGAGCATTTTCATTACTTTAAAATTATAATTATTGTTTCGTTTTTGCTATTCCATTGATGTTTGCTTTTATTTGGAATGAATTTTGCAATCAAACGAGTAAGTCTATAACATTGTTTATATGCGAATGATTCTAAATGAATTTTCATATATATCAAGTATGTCATGCATATAATAACGACTTTATTTTAGTATTATGAATTGACAAAATCTTTGGACTTAGAAACAAAATAACAACAAAACACATTATTATACCTTTAAAAAAGGAAAAAGAAAGCCCCATATAAATATATATATATATATAATTATCGGTCAACATCCATTCCTAGTCATTAAGATTGTTTTTTTTTTTTCATTAATAGAAAACTAGTTTATTAGAACAAACAATTTCACCAATTCAACAAATAAATAAATAAATAAATAACAATAATAAAGTAGTAATAATAATAGAATAAAAGTTTTACAAAAGAAGCTCCAAAATTAGTTTGAGTTTTTGTTTTATATATATTTTTAAGTTATCTAATAGTTTTGAGTTATATTAACATATTCAGTTAAATATTTATTTAATTTACGAACAATTAATGGATTTTTCATTTATATTTATAAAATCGAGACTTGGTTGTTTTTTTCAATATCGATATCTTAAACATTGTGTAAGAGCCTTAGATTTCGACTATCTAAAGTCGCTACCCTCATTTTAGCTTAATCTCGTATGCAGAATATAACTCTTAAAGCATCATCATTAAAATCATAATTTCAACACAAGTATAACGTCATCATTGAAAATACTGCTATAGTCTTACATGTTCAATAATAGATAGGATGAGACAGGCGAACATGAACTATTAAGAAGAAAGTTGGTTTAATTTACCAACTAGGTCGTGTAAAAGATCGAAACAAGAATGTTACGACTCAAAGTAGACAAAAGAGTTATACCGACACAAGGCGTAACAAATTTGAGTTTGAGATTGTCGACAAGCTATTCTTGAAGGAGTCCCCAACAAAAAGGATCCTGAAGTTTATGCGGAAGGGCAAGCTAAGTTCATGCTTCATCGAACCCTTAAATATTCTAGATGAGATTGGACTAGTGGCGTACATATTATCCCTATTATTTGTAATACCCAAAGTAAGGTTAATGTACCTCAAGTAAATTTAAGGTACTTAGATAAGGTCTAAAGGATCCCTCTAAAAGATCGAAGAAAAAAAATTAAGTGATTAAAGTAAGGAGAAGAGGTTGAGCAAATAATCCCATAAATAACAAAGTTTATAGGGATTTAAGGCCTTCCAAAATGATGAGAAAGGAAAAAGACTGAATAAAGGTTATTTTCCTAATTTTAAAGAAACTTTTTAGATTTTTAATTCTTTATTGAGAAAGAATTTAAGGTGCTGATGAAGGAGGGAATGACCCAAAGGGGTAAAGAATTTTTAGAAAAAGTTTAGATTTTTGGGAAAATAATAATAAAAAGTGGGAAATTACAAACATGCCCTTAAAGATACTCTTAGTTACGAAAATGCCACCAAAGAAAATATGCAAGCATACTAATGGGCAACATCCTCATTGGAATGAATATTTTCGATGAGTATTCATAAAAGTTTAAAATAAAAAGAGGAAAAACCAGCACTGTTCTAGATCAATGGTTGTGCAAGCTTCATAATAAGAAACTCTAGACAATGTTTTAAGACAAGAATCGAGTAATGAGGATTCCTTGAACTGGAGATTGAACCTTTTAGATTATGGAGTTTTTCTTCCTTGAATTTCTTCCATAATCATTTTCTCTCCTACCAACTCATGCACGACTCCCAACAAGTTTCATGAAGGAATCGGAGCTTGATAAGATCTAGAACGACGTAACCAACAAAAATATGTATGGGTTATTTGAACTAAGCACATATTTTTCGGCGAATTTTAGAAGGTTATAACTTGAGCTACAATCCACGAAAAGGTATGAAATCAATCCTTAGCTCTTTCCTGTAACGCCATCTATAAGTTTCATGAAAAAATTGAGTGGAGAAACGCTTTAAATAAAGCTAGAGAGGTACGTTTTCAAGCGGTGGTGCAAAGGCCCACGCCCATCTTCCTCTTAAGAAAAAGATGATGACATGACCTATTCAACTGAACCGACCCTATCAACCTAAAATCTAATCTTCCCTCCATTTTTCTCAACTTTAACCTTCTTATAGACAGGTTCTCATGAATACCTTTATTATTTTTGAAACTAGAGACAAAGATAAAATATTTGTAGGGATGATTTATATTTTAGTATGACCTTAACCTGAGTATGAATTAAGGGAATGTGATAAAAAAAAATACCAAGTGTCGTGAGTTAAGGTCGTAAACTGAGTGATTTGCTTGAGATTCAAGTAATGTTAAAATAACCCACTAAATGAACTCCGCTACCCATGAAATTTTAATGATAAGAATATTATGTAATGTTAATATTATATATGAAAAATATTTCCTATTAGACAAGCTTAAGTAGCTAAACCAAGTAACGGTATAACATGACCATAATGGTTCTCAGGTAACTTACTTTCGGTTCATGATCCAAATGACCTCTAAATGTTATGAACCTTTATGAAATGTCTTATTTATCTTTTGTAAGGATTACTTTATGTTTGAGACTCATTAGATCATGTTGGGAGCTTGAACCAAGTTTAGGATGCAAAAATGACAAAAATGCCTCTATGACGATAACCTTAGGTTGGAGACCTAAATGACCTCCAAATACTATGAAACTTCAAAATAGAACTTATTTCATGATGATTGATGATCTTTTATAGATTGAATATTATTGCATCACTTTAAAGACTAAACCAAAAATTAGGAGTAAAATGACCAAAATGCCTCTAGGATTCTTTAAGATGTTTCAACGTAACATCCTCCAAATGACTTACTAATTTTGATAAGAACTATTTCTAAAGACATAAAGATATACTCAAAATTTAAAGTTTGGAACCTAAACTAAGTTGGAGCCTAAGTAACCGACAATACCCAAACGACCTTTACCCCAGGTCCAAGACTCTTATATAATTTTATAAAGAACATATTATGATATCATGACATATTGAATGACTAATGCAAGTTTCCTTATGGTTTCATAATTAATGGGAGCTTAAGAATATATGCTAAGATATGTGACTCAAGAGATTAAGAACCCTAGAAATTTATAAAATGTATTAAGATCAAGAACCAACCGAAATATCAACACAAGCCCTGCTGCATTTATTAAGATAAAAGAATGCTAGGTACCACTCAAGGATAACGAACAAAGGTTCTCAAACTCAGAAACGCAAGAAACTCCTAAACCTCCCACGGTAAAGCATATTCACGAATTAGACTACAATGCTTGGAATGTAAGAAGCCTTAGATGTTGGTTTTTAGATGACACTGCTTAGAACTTAAGAAGCATCAAGCATACGTATTTAAACAATCCCGCTTGGAACTTATGAATCCTTGGGCATAGATTTTCATACCGTATCACAGTGAACACATGAAGCCCTGAATAAGTGTTCAGACTACGTTGCTTGAAACATATGAAGCCTTGGATGTAGGTATTTAGACTATGCTGCTTGAGACGTATGAAGTCTTGGGCATAGGTTTTTAGTGTTGAACACAACTCACTGTGGGAAACACTCGCACTCTTTATTAAGACCAATCGAGAAGAGAATACAAGACACTCTGTAGAATACTTCTGCTTTTTATTGTTTTTGGATTTCTTGGATGAATAACCTAGGTAGGGTGGAGAGGTATTTATACTAAGAGTAAACAATCTATATTGAACCAATATAAATCTAGACCTAACGGATTTGAATCTAGAACTAACAAATTTGAATCTTTCTCCTAAAATATCTAGATCTTTTTCTCCTAAAATCTTTACTAAAATAAATATATTGGGCTCATACAATAATTGGGCTTGACTCTATTGGGCTAGTGATGATATTTCAACACTCCCCCTCAGCACTAGTCCTCATTCGCTGCACCATGTTGAGCTGACAGCGAAAGCTCTCATGTTTGCCAGTATTTAGCCCTTTTGTAAACAAGTCTGCCACTTGGTCATCTGTCTTGATCTGCTGCATCTCGATTTCTTCCTTTAGGGCCTTCTCTCTAATGAAATGGTAGTGCACCTCCACATGCTTTGTTCTAGCACGAAACACCAGATTTTCTGCTAGGCGAATCGTAGATTGGTTGTCGCAATGAAGTGGTATTGGATACTCAATTTTCTGATGCCAATCTTCCATCAAAAGTTTTAGCCATGTATTTTCCTGAGCTGCTCTATACTCTGCTTCTGTAGTTGATAATGATACTGTTGGTTGTCTCTTGCCACACCAAGAAATTGTTTCTGAACTAAACTTGAACACATACCCAGTGGTTGGCCTCCAAGTATCATGGTCTCGTGCATAGTCAGCATCACTATATCTAGCTAGCTTCCAGTCTTCGCTTCTTTTGTATAAAACATATCTCAAGGTTCGTCGAGATGTATCCAAATGAGCCTTCTTCGAATTTTGCATATATTGATCAATGACACCAACTTCATTTTCGAATTTCTTTAGTTGGTTCATGTAGAACTCTCTGTTTAACTCTCCATGCAAGAAAGCATTATTCATATCCATCTGCCATAATTTCCAATCTTTATTTACCGTATATACTGGAGGAACTTGTACGATAATGATCTTTGCCACGGGACTAAACGTTTCATCATAGTCTAGTCCATATTCTTTAGAGAACCCTGAATCTATAGTCTGAGTTTTGTATCTCACGATTGATCCATCCGGGGTACACATTATTTCGTAAGCCCACTTGCAAGAGATGAGTTTGGTATCTCTTAGTCTTGACACTAATTCCCAAGTCTGATTTTGTTCTAGGGCTATAGTTTCTTCCTCCATTGCTTTCTGCCAAGCTAAGTTTTGTGATGCTTGTTCATATGTCTCTAGCTCATTAACTTCGTCTTCTACTGCGTTGGCATACTCTAGATTTGCCTTTAGGATTATTTCTGAATGTCTGAGTTGTTGAGGTGTCATTTCATTTTCACTAGGCTCGCTTAGTTGAGTCACTTCTTGCTCGCCAACACTAGTGTCACTTGAATCTTTAGGCATATCAGCACTTGAGCAAATGTGTACAATTTGCTCCCCCGTCTTTTGTGGAAGAATCTCTTCAGTTTGCTCCCCTATGTTCTGGAGAAGAATTTCTTCAGTTTGCTCAAGGCGTGGTAATACTTCCTTCTCTAAGGGCCACCCCTCTTCCATTGCACCGCTTTGATCGTCAATCATGTGGTTTACGCATCCTGAATCAATGATCCAGTCATCCTCATAATCGATATGCTCTTCCATTGTCGCCATGAGTGCTAGCTCGTCTTCTTCTATGGGACATAGTACCTCTGCATCCCATTCATCTTCTATCTTCTTTTTGGATATTGCCACATTGCTTTCAATAGACTTTTTCCTGGACCAACAATCTCTAGACATATGGCCCTTTTTCTCGCAATTATAGCAAATACCACCAAATCTCGTTCTTTGGGAACTCTTGTTGTCGTTCTTCTGAGCTCTCTCAGGTCGTGCAATCCCTTGGTGGCTTCTTCTTTTGTCACCATTGTATCCATGTTTGGTAGACGGCCTATTATTGCTCTGACTTTCACTCGTGTAGAGTGCTTCTTCTTCACCCTTCAATGTGAAGCCTCCCATTTGTTTAGCCATGGCTTCATGGCTGGCTAACAAATTTTCGAACTCTACAAGTGTTGGTTGAGTGGGCCATCCTTGTACAGCAGTAATGAAGCTTCGATATTCTGGTCGTAATCCGTGGATTATAATCCTCTTCATTCGAGATTCTACAATGGCGGACTTTGGGTCTAGTTCAGTAATCTCCCGACAGATTGATTTGACATTGTGGAAGTACTGAGCAATTGTCATATCACGTTGTGTAATTGACAACAACTCATTCTCCAGAAGTTGTAGCCTCGTATCGTTCTTCTTTGAGAACAACATCACGAACGTGTCCCATGCTTCTTTCGGTGTCTTGTCATCCCAAATATGTTCTAACATCTCTTCTCCGATTGTGATCTTCAACGCAAACATTGTTTTGCCTGCTTTGATTCTCTATTTGCGTAAGGCGCCTTTGGAATCCTCCTCTAGCGGCGTAGTTTCACACCCGCCAACGATCTCCCAAAGATCTTGTCCTTGTAAATAGGACATCATGCATGTTGCCCACGTGTTGTAGTTGTTGTTGCTGAGTTTCCTGATTCCTCCAACGATTTGGAAATCACCCATCGTGTTGGCCATACCTCAGTAATACCAAACAAGTTCTTTTGACACAAGACTTGCAGAGTCACAGACTTCTCACGACACAAAAGAAACTCACTCACCACTAATCTCAAGAAATCGTTTATGATGTGGAAGATCAGACAGAGCTGCAACCACAGAGCATAGTAAGGATTCCAAGAGACCAGATAACCTATACTAACCTTGCTCTGATACCAAATGTTGAACACAACTCACTGTGGGAAACACTAGCACTCTTTATTAAGACCAATCGAGAAGAGAATACAAGACACTCTGTAGAATACTTCTGCTTTTTATTGTTTCTGGATTTCTTGGATGAATAACCTAGGTAGGGTGGAGAGGTATTTATACTAAGAGTAAACAATCTATATTTAACCAATCTAAATCTAGACCTAACCGATTTGAATCTAGAACTAACAAATTTGAATCTTTCTCCTAAAATATCTAGATCTCTTTCTCCTAAAATCTCTACTAAAATAAATATACTGAGCTCATACAATAATTGGGCTTGACTCTATTGGGCTAGTGATGATATTTCAACATTTAGACCATATCGCAAGAAAAAAATGAAGCCCTGGATGCGGGTTCAGACTATGTCGTTTGGTGAAGCCTTGGACGTAGGTTAAGACTGTGTCACTTTGAATTTATTAAACATCGGACACAGGTTGTCAGGTTCATGACTTGTACCGTAAATCTTAAGAAGTGTCTTGGAGAAGTACAACAATAGCATAGAAAGTAATGAAGAACAAGACAATGATCAAGAACTTGGACAACATCCAAGTTCTGAAGACAAGGACCAAAAAAATTAATACTAAGGCCAATGATCAAGAACTTGGACAACATCCAAGTTCTGAAGACAAGGACCAAAAAAATTAATACTAAGGCCCTTGATCAAGAACTTGGACAACATCCAAGTTCTGAAGACAAGGACCAAAAAAATTAATACTAAGGCCCTTATATCAGAATCAAGATTGAGATTTCAAAATCCAAGGACCAAGGCCCTCCGGCTAGATCATGAGAAAAACTCACAAATCAAGAATAGAACTAAGGGGCTAAGAACTTGTAACAAGAACCCGAATAAGAAAAGAAAAACTGGGGTACCCTAGCATAACATGATTAAGAGCCTACAATTAGCCTATTTACTGAGCTTTTATACTCACTCAATGTTTTTCATATTTTTCTGGTAAATAAGGAGTTGGTCGAGGTTGAGAGTAGACTCTGGAGCAAGCACCACACAAAACTACACCATTTTAAACTACTTAAATATTTCAAAATTATTTTATTTACTAAACCTAATGTATTCAAACTTTAACTTCAATTTGTAAATAAAATGTCTTTTCTTTTTTATTCAAGTATGAAAAATTTTACCATCCATTTATATGTGTCTTTTTATCTTTTTATGTTTTTAAGTCACGGCTCAAGAAAAATTGGGTCGTGACACCACTGTTTCTCTCATAGATGCTTGGGTCGTGACACCACTGTTTCTCTCATAGATGCATAACGTATTTCATGTATTCATTGTATGATGTGATGATTTATGCATGATGCACGAACCTCGTTATGCATAACGTATTTCATGTATTCATTGTATGATGTGATGATTTATGCATGATGCACGAACCTCGTTATGTCACCCCACGTATTGATAAACCATGTATGTTAACCATGAAAGATAATGATGCACGAACCTCGTTATGTCACCCCACGTATTGATAAACCATGTATGTTAACCATGAAAGATATGTTCAGTATGTCTAATAGAATGCTAGGTCTTAAATCTAATGGACCTAATATAGGATCCACGGCAAAGAAGATTCAACAAACATTTGTAGACATTTGTAGAATTAGAAGCTGATACGATTGACAAAGGACAATTGAATATTTGCACGGTTGAAGTTGGAAAACATTAATATGTTAACAACAAGGTTTGAATCTACACAAGTGAAGCCTAATAAATTACAAGTTTATTTCTTTAGCCACTCAAACATATCAACATTTATTGAAAAATTTTATTTTTATATTTTACTTTTTTCATTTTGCAATGGTCAATTGGTCAAAATTGACTTCGTCATTTGTGGAGATTAAAGGGGATCNCGAAATGGAGGGGAGATCAATGAAGCTAGGTGGAGAGAAGCACAGGTCGGAACAATTACTCGTTTGAATCAAGTTATTAGTACATTGAAAGATCAGATGGAGCGAATTGAAATAGCCTTAGGTAATGATCAATGGAGGGAAGTACTCTTGAATGAAGGAGTTGAAAATGAAGAAGATGACAATGTCACCCTTTTAGCGGGATATAGTCCTAAGGGAGGGAGAGATGTCGGTCGAGGGAGAGGAAGAGTCAGAAGAAGGGGTAGAGAAATTTTAGCACCAAAAAGAATTGAGAGGGAGTATCAGTATGAGAGAGAAAAAGAAAAAGGAGTCGGGCGAGTAAAGCTAAAAATTCCAACTTTCTATGGGAGATCTGATCTAGAGAAGTATTTGCAATATGAGAGCAAAATTGAGCATGTCTTCGATTGCAACAATTTCAGTGAAGAAAGAAAGTTGAAGCTTGCTGTGGCTCAATTTTGTGATTACGCCATTATATGGTGGACATCTTTGAAATCAGAGTGGAGGAGAAATTATGAAGAACCAATTGAAACGTGGGAGAAATTGAAGACATTAATGAGATAAAGGTACATTCCTAAGCATTATTCTCGAGTACTCAAGCAAAAACTCTATACTTTACAACAGGGATCCAAAAGTGTTGAAGAATATTACAAAGAAATGGAGACCCTTATGAATAGAGCATGTATTGATGAAGATGAGGAAGATACAATGGCTAGATTTCTTGGTGGGTTAAACCGACAACTTGCTCATCAAGTGGATAGGCGAGCGTACTTTGATATGCAAGAATTGTTACACCTTGCTGTCAAAATCGGAGGGCAACTAGCTTGGGAGGAGGAGAACTCCAAGAGGTATGGTATTTCAAAGTCTACTACTTTCAACACTTGAAAAAGAATGCAAATATTGAAAAGATAGATTTCAAAGTTGGAGGCAAGTATGATCTTGACAAAAAGAACAAAGCTAAGACCTCCAAGGGTATAGAGACAGCGGAGGAATATAAGGAGATTCGAGAAAGAAATAGAGACATCAAATGTTGGAAATGTCAAGGAATTGCTCATCTTAGTCGTGATTGTCCTAACAAGAGAGTCATGATCATCAAGAATGGACAAGTTGTCACAGATAGTGAGGAAAGTGACCATGATGAGCTAGTTGAAGAGGAAATCCAGGAGAATGAGGAGAAACTAGAAGATGGGAGTCATTTGGTACTTGTTACCAGAAGGCTTCTTAAAACTCAAGTTACAGAGAATGATGTTGATGATCAAAGAGACAACCTATTTCACACAAGGTGTTTAGTCAAGAGGACTCCTTGTAGTCTTGTAATTGATAGTGGAAGCCGCACCAATGTCGTAAGTACAATGCTGATCAAAAGGTTGCTAATTCCAACCCAACACCATCCTAAACCTTACAAGCTTCAATGACAGTGGAACAATGAAGGTAACTTCTCAAGCTTTAATATCTTTAAATTTAGGAAAATATAAAGATAAAGTTCTTTATGATGTTTTACCAATGCATGCTGGAGACATATTGCTTGGCTGACCATGGCAATTTGACAAGAGGGTTATGTATGATGGCTATTTGAATCGATATTCTTTTGTAAAAGATGGTAGAAAAACCACTCTTGTACCTTTGAGTTCTGCAAATGTATTTGCTGATCATTAAAGTTGGAAAAAAAAAAAAAAAAAAAAGAGTTTGAGGAAAAAGAGTTAGTGAAAAAATAGAGAAAAGTCAATCAGAAAACCATAGTGAAAAAAAGAATGAAATTGGAAAAAAAAGGAAAGAATGTGAGTTGTTTGGCTAGAGTTGGAGAGGTTAGAAGGGCAATGTTCTCACAAAAAACCATCTTTGTACTTGTGTACAAGGAAGGATGTTTGGTCTCTAACGATAATAATTTGTCTTTGCCTAGTAAGTTTCAATCTCTTTTACAGGAATTTGATGACGTATTCCAAGATGAAGTCCCTAAAGGACTACCTCCTATTATTGGTATTGAACATAAAATAGACTTCATTCCAGGGGTAGTAATTCCTAATAGGCCAGCTTATAGAGCCAACCCAACTGAGACTAAAGAAATTCGAAGGCAAGTAGAGGAGCTTATGGAGAAGGGCTATATACGAAAGAGTTTGAGTCCATGTTCTGTACTAGTCTTATTGGTGCCAAAGAAAGAAGGAACGTGGCGTATGTGCGTGGATTGTAGAGCCATCTACAAAATCACGGTGTGGCAACAATACTTATGGCCTAGAGAATTTGTGATCCACTCTGATCATGAAAGCTTGAAGTATCTTAAGGGTCAAAGCAAACTGAACCGTAGGCATGCAAAGTGGGTGGAGTTTATTGAAATATTTCCGTATGTCATCAAATATAAGCAAGGTAAGGATAATGTGGTAGCTGATGCATTATCTAGAAGGTACAATCTTTTTACTTCTCTCAGTGCAAAACTTTATGGATTTGAGCATATTAAAGAATTATATTGAGATGACCACGACTTTTGAATTATTTATGCATCTTGTCTTAAAAAACAGCCGTAGATGATTATTATATATTTCATGAATTCTTATTTAAGAAAAGTAAGCTTTGTATTCCTAAATGCTTTATCAGAGATTTGCTTGTAAAAGAAGCACATGGTGGTGGCTTAATGGGACATTTTGGGATTAATAAAACTTATAATATGTTGCATGAATACTTCTTTTGGCTGAAAATGAAGCATGATGTTTATAAATTTTGTAGTCAATGCTTTAAATGCAAAGAAGCTAAATCTAGATCACAACTAAATGGATTGTACACTCCTTTGAATGTACCTAATGAACCTTGGACTAATATATCTATGGATTTTGTTCTTGGTTTACCGCACACTAAAAATGGTAAAGATAGTATTTTTGTTGTGGTAGACAGATTTAGTAAGATGGCTCATTTTATTACATGTAACAAGACGGACGATGCAAAACATGTTGCTGGCTTATCTTTTTAGGGAAGTAGTAAGATTACATGGAATCCCTAGAATAATTGTTAGTGATAGGGATGCTAAATTTCTAAGTCACTTTTGGAAAGTATTGTGGGGTAAATTGGGTACCAAATTGTTGTTTTCAACTACATGTCATCCTCAGACGATGGACAAACTGGGGTGGTTAATAGAACATTAGGAGAATTGCTTAGGGCTATTATTTCTAAGAATATTAAGTCTTGGGATGAATGTTTGCCATTTGTAGAGTTTGCATATAATAGAGCAATTCATGGTACAACTTATTGTTCTTCTTTTGAAGTTGTTTAGTGATTTAATCCACTTAGGCCTCTTGATTTGCTTCCTATTCCTTCTAATATGTTTGTGAGTGACGCAGCCACAAGTAAGGCAGACTTGTTCAAAAGATTGCACAAGGAGGTGAAGGAGAGAATTGAAAACCATAATTGAAAACCATAATTTCAAAGTTGCTTCAAGGATTAACAAAGGACAGATGAAAATCATTTTTGGTGATTCTCATCTCAATGGAAGACACAAAGTTACATCCAAGAGGGGATGACCTGATCAAGTCCTTGAAAGAATTAATAACAATGCAAATTGACCTTTGCACGGTTGAAGTTGGAAATTAGAAGCTGATACGATTGACAAAGGACAATTGAATATTTGCACGGTTGAAGTTGGAAAACATTAAAATGTCAACAATAGTGTTTAAACCTACACAAGTGAAGCCTAATAGATTTCAAGTTTATTTCTTTAGCCACTCAAACATATCAACATTTGTTGAAAGATTTTATTGTTTTTTTTTTTTCATTTTGCAATGGTCAATTGGTCAAAATTGACTTCGTCATTTGTGGAGATTAAAGGGGATCGGGATTGAATCCCATCCACAAACGTCTTTTGTCGGGAGACTATAAATACCCACAATATGTTATGTAAAATTCAGATTGGTGGATAAATGTAATTCAAATTTCAAATTAAAACATTTTCCTTAGAAATCCGAGCATCATATTTGTCATTTCTAAGTTTCAAGCAATTCTTGTGGTAGAATTGCACCTAAGCCATTCAATCAAGCCTTGATCAAGTTCGATTGTGGAGTGACTCAATTTAGAACAAGGTTTCCAAATCTTGCTTCTAGATCTACAATCATAAGAGGTAATCTAATTCTAGCCTTATCTCTTGGTTGATCCAAATTTCGTATAAGGAGGTGTTAATTACTTTAATTCAAGGGTTCTTGCTTCAACAAAAGCTTGGATCGTTTGGCTGGGGATTAGGGTTGCCTTATAAAAAACATAATATACATTATTATATCAAAAAAGTGTTCATACATAAGTATTAATACACAACATAATAGTTAAGATATAAACTGTAACAGCCCAAAAATAAATATATAAACAAATAAAAATTATTATTATGTATAAAATAATAATAATAATAATAAATTAATAAAAAAAAAGTAAATAAATAAATAACCATTATTCCCTCTTTTTTCTTCCGTAAGTCACTTCCCCAATAATCTCTCCTCAACACACCTCACAATCCTGTGAAAGGAAACAGAAATGAAAAAACTCAGATTTGAGAAAACAGACATGCCTCACATCAAATTTATAGGAGATGGGTTGACAGAGATGATCAAGATTTACATGGGAGAGGGGAGAGAGATTTGAGATTTCTCGGTAAGTTATATTTCAGATCTCCTTCCCTTTTATCCAATTATTTAGTTTTATTTAGCAATTTAATTAGAAAGATACGTCATGATCAATAGTAGAAACAAAATAGAGACTAAATTGGCCAGAAGTAATTGCCAACCTAATTGGAAAAGTAACAAACAAAAATAAAAAGAAAGGATTAAACAAATTTAACTAATCAGAATTTCTTCTCTCTTGCAAAAACAAGCACAAAAAGGGTTCAGATTAAGTTTTGTTTTGTAGGAAGAGATATTTCTCTAAAAAGAGATAATGCATTTGAAGAGGTCAGTAGTTTTCCTTTTATTTTATTTAATGATACTAAAAGTCATTCTCAAACAGAGAGAGATAATTAAAAGACAGTAAGTAACCATTAGAAGGGTATTAACCATTAGAGAAAATAGAATATCTGGGAAATTTTAATGAGGATTAAATGGGTTGTATGAAAATAATACTATAACAAACATATATAAATATTTCAACACCTAATTCAAGTAAAGACTCTATCGTTCAAGACTCTAACGTTCGCATGAAATATAACACATGGGTCAACATAAATTAGAGAAATAATTTTATAGAGTTCAAATTTGAAACTGATGTCATGGGATCACATAGGTTGACTTGGAGTTCAATGGACTTTCATCAAGGATAACGACGGAATCGAACTTTCATTAAGGATATATTT